TCTCTCTTCTCCTCTCTCTCTCTCTCTCTCTCTCTCTCTCTCTCTCTCTCTCTCTCTCTCTCTAATGATCTCGTGATCTCTCTCTCGTGATCTGTCTCACGATCTCTCTCGTGATCTCTCCCGTGATCTCTCTCGTGGTCTCTCTCGTGATCTCTCTCTCGTGAGCTCTCTCTTGATCTCTCTCTCTCGTGATCTGTGTCTTGCCGAACCCTTAAAGGTCCTCCCTTCCATGTCTCTTGAAATGTGGCGGCAGCAAATTAAAGGACTGTTTGTTGTTCTGTGCATTGTTGTAAAACAAATGTGAGGGGAAAGAATTCTGGCCCAGTTCCTCCCGATTCGGTGTGGTTTAGGCCGTGGCACAGCAACGGGCATTACCTTGCCCAAGTGTGCAAGAAGTCGTATTGTGTCAATCGCTACAATCAATCGAGGCCTCTCTCTTATCTGAACTTGGCGACTTCTCCTCTCTCTGTGCATGTGTGTTGGTTTGTGCATGTGTGTCTGTTCGTGTGTGTGTGTGTGCGTGCATGTGTGTTTGTGTGTGGCATGTGTGTGTGTGTGTGGTGCGTGTGGGGAGAGGGGCCGGGTTGGCGTGGGTGTGTATGTGTGTGTGTGTGTGTGTGTATGTAATGATAGATTTGGAGGGCCTACAAGGACCAGAAGCATGATTTGTTCTTGCCATCAAATGCTGGGGCATCCCCTGCTGGTGTCGCTGGACTAATCAAAGGCCCATCAAGTTTGGCGTATGCACTCCCGGCTCCGACATCATGGAGCAGTCAGGGTACAAACAAAGCGACGTTGTCACCATTGTCCTTGCCGCCTCCTCTTCCATCGAGCTCTCCGTCTCCAGCACCCGCATTGTACTCCAGGCCTCTTTCTGCCAACATTAGACCCGGCTTCAAGTCTCCATCGGACGGTTCTGCATCCATAGACCCACCACCTGGAATGCGACGTCTTTAATGAACGTGGATAAGAATGGTGGACAGGGTTTACTATTGAAAGTAAACGTAACTCCCAAGGTTGGACAAGGAATAATAGAGCAGACAACGGCAGCATCAACCGCCTGTGGTTGCCACATGGATTGCTGCACAAGCCGTAAAGAGTAGCAAGCGGTGGATGTGAAGGTAATAGGTAGGTGTGACAGCCCACTTGGCCTGTGAAGGTAATTGCAAGGCTTTCGTAGTGATCAAGGGCAAAGGTAGACGTAACTTTGGTAGTGAGGTGGTGCTGTTGATTTGCAGTATATATGCTTTGCAGTATCATGCTGAGTAGGAAGATTGGCACAAGCGTAATGTGTACTTCACGTCTTAGTAAACACTTGGCACATTCACTCAAGTCTTTGCTCTGCACTGTCTGCACATAGTATGTACTACACGTGTACCGTTTGTACACCGAAAGTATGTACTTGATGATGTGCGCTTTGTGTACCACACGTCAAAGATGCGCTTGGCATTCACAAGTTGGAACGTAGTACTTCGTTTTGTGGTGTGCACTACATCTGTAATACGTAACGTACTTCGTTGTGGTGTGTACTGCATCCATAATACGTACGTACGTACTTCGTTGTGTGGTGGGTACCGCATCCAAAGTATGAATAGCGCGTACTTTGTTTTGTGGTGTGTAGTACATCCATAGTACGTACTTCGTTTTGTGGTGTGTACGACATCCGGAGTACGACCGAATTTGAAGTGTGTGCTTGGCAAGTCGGAACATAGTACGTACTTCGTTTGTGGTTGGTTTATTTGAAGTGTGTGCTTGGCAAGTCGGAACATAGTACGTACTTCGTTTGTGGTTGGTTTATACGACATAGTATGACATAGTACGTACATAGTACGTACTTCGTTTGTGGTTGGTTTATACGACATAGTATGACATAGTACGTACTTTGCTTGTTGTAGTATGTACTTCGTTTGTGGTTTATACAACATAGTATGACATAGTACGTACATATTATGACATAGTACGTACTTTGCTTGTTGTAGTACGTACTTCGTTTGTGGTTTATACAACATAGTATGACATAGTACGTACTTTGCTTGTTGTATGTACTATATCCAAAGTATGGATTTGAAGTGTGTGCTGGGCAAGTTGGAAAATAGTACGACACAATATGCACTTCATTTGTGATATGTAGGACGTACTTGGTTTGTGGTATATACGACACAATACGCACTTCATTTGTGATATGTACGACATCCGAAGTATGTATTTGAAGCGTGTGCCTGACAAGTTGGAACATAGTACGTACTTCGGTTATTCGGCAAAAGGACTACAGAGTCCAAAGATAGTACGTACTTCATTTATGGTGAAAGGACTACGGACTCAGTACGGACTCCAAACATAGTACGTACTTCGTTTATGGTTTTAGGTAAAAGGACTACGGAGTCGAAAGAATGTACTCGGCAGTGTTGGCCCACAGCATCTACTTTGTGAATGCTATGCGCCACCTTGTAAGTAGGTACGTGTCATATAGTATGTATGTAGTCCTGTCTTGTGAGTAGGTACTTGTCACATAGTATGTGTGTAGGTTTCGCGAGAGCTGGCGTAAATTTTCAAACTTTCAAAGCATGTGGCTTCATCCATGCTCTTGAGTTCTGCATGAGTCACACTATTCTGCATTTTTTTTTAATAATATATATTATATTTTTGTCACTCCGCCATTTTTATTGCGATTGGTGCTCTTTCTACCTTTCAGGTCAGGAGGCTTGTTTTTCTCCTATATCATCTCAGAGTCCAGTGTTTGTTATCTCGTGCGTTAACTGTATAGTTGAGGTGTGTGGTTCTGTTTGATTGTTTGAATGATGATATGCCAGCTTATACCCTCTCTGCCTCGATTTAGGACTCCGACCGAATACTCTATATTCGCTTCTCGCAGGTAGATTCTCTTCTCATGTCCCACTATCATCCATCACATGACCCCACAAGTGAAGCCGAGTGTGGTCTCCTATCTTGCGGAGGTGCGCAGGTAGGAGCTGGAAACAAGACAGTACAGACATCTGGATATAGGAGATGAAGTCGAGTGTGGGTTCTGGTTTGCTTAACTTCGCAGAATGCTCGCTCATTCAGGGGGTGGGGGGACCAAGGAAGAAGGGGGGAGGGGGGGCGCGGGGGACAAGGGGAAGGCAGGGGAGGGGAGGGAAGGGGGGAGGAGGGCGGGACTGTGTTTGAACTGTTCCCTGACTATGCTGCGGCAAGCTTAGCCAAGAAAGGGATGGAAGCAATGTCGTTCTGGTAGTTTAGTAGGAGGATGGTGGCGTGCGTGAGCATCAGGTAAGTTGTAGGGAGTTTGGTCGATCTCTCTCCACGTCGGTGAATTGCGCCGTCGGGTTTTTTCTTTCCCGAAAAGGAGTTCACGGTGTTGGGACCACAGCAGGAATGATGTGCTATGCTGTGTGGTGGACGCAGTGTTAAAATCACTGCCTTGACTTGCCAGCACACACACACACACACACACACACACACACACACACACACACAAACACAAACACACACACACACACACACACACACACACAGGGTTAGGCGTCCGATGACCAGCAGGCGTGCGCTGAGTAGTTGGCTCCTCAGATTTGTGGCCCCCTTGTATGCTGTTGTGGAGCCCAGAGTCAAAAGGGAGAACGGGGGGTTAGATAGGACGGGAGTTAAATGTGGTGGCGAATGTTTTATGCTGTGTGCTGGACGCAGCGTTACAAAACTGGCTTGGCTTGGCTTTGGCTGCACTCAGGCTTTTGCTTAAGTTCATCAGAGTTTCATTTCACACAGGGCCTGATTTACAAAACTCGCTTGGCTTTGGCTGCACTGCAGTTCCTTCCTCTCTCTCTTGTTCGATCACAACATTATCTAAAAAACATGGTCTTGGCCCCGATCGTCAGAGCAGTCACAATTTGAACCCCTGATCTGCTAGTATGCATAATGCTATGATAATAGCGGCATTTAGTCAAGGTCGAGGCGATTGCGATTGCGATTGCACTCAAGGTTTACCATCCATCCAAGGGGGTTGATACATGCACCCAAGGTCGACGCAGTCGCTTGATGAAAAACCCTTCGCCCTCGAAGGTCTGAGAGCCCCGCATTGAGGTACCACCAGAGCTGTTGTGATAATTTTCAGACTGGTATCGCAGAGCGGGTGCTTGCCTTGATAAAGTTGATATCAACTTCACAGTGTTCACACTCCTCGACGTGCGAGCAGTCTTGGAGTCTCAACAAGCGTGTCATGAGTCGGGGAGTGGCAAGGGATTGCTTTTTTTTTTGCTCAACTGAGGGTATCGTCAGACTAAGACCTTTTGGACTCACCCCTGACCATAATTAGGGTCAGATACCTTCAGAGGCAGGCAGGCGTGATTGCTGGCCGGATACGTCAAGAAAATTCCGAGTGCGAGTATAGTTGTGAACTCCAGTAATCATGGGGGTTGAGAATTGGGACAAATTGGGACACTCACCTCTGGCCATAATTGGGGTCAGATACCTTCAGACGCAGGCAGTCGTGATTGATGGCCAGATACGTCAAGAAAATTCCTAGTGCGAGTATAGTTGTGAACTCCAGTAAACACGGGGATTGAGAATCGGGACAAATTAGGACAAATCAATGCTAAGAAGGCCCTGGTCTAGTTTGTCAGTGAATGTGTGTGATCGATATGAGCGAAGTGGACAGTTTTCAGAATCCGGAGGAGAACTGCTACATGTATGGTTAAGACTGCTTTATATTGGTCTAGCCAATCGGTGGTCCCCACCTCGTTCTGAGGGTCCTGTAAGCCTGCCACGAAAGAGTGCTTCTGCAGAGTACGACTTCTGCCATTAGGGGGCCACCGAGTCATGTTGTAGGGGTGGGAGAAGGCGAGACGTGAGGAGATGGTTTTACAATCGTTCCATGGAATTCAGGTGTTTCGACAATGAAGGAAGTGTATTATTATTTTTATCTTGTCTTGTTGCTTTCCTGGCTTCTCTGGAGTGATTAATCTGTGTGCCCCATTAACACCCCCCCCC